AAATGAGTTAATTATTACCATTATTAACCTACTGCTCCACTCGTTCAAACATTATTAAATCCTAGACAATATTAGATACTTAAACGACGAGCCATTTGTGTAAGATTAATTTAACAAGAAACTTGAAAATAAATAATTGTAGATTTATTTATATTATTGAAGTCTTGACGCTTATTATTATTACCATGATTTTGATTGGTCCAGAACAGTATTTCGTCCATCTAATTTAAAATAAAAGAGAACTCACCGCAATATTTTATTGCTCATATTATTTTGTGGAATTACTTTTGATAATGCGCTACTTAACAATAGAATAGATAGGTTGACAAATACACAAAACACTGCAGATTATCAGAGGAAATTAGGCGCAAAACTAAAACAACAGTACAAGTCACATTAAAGGATTATCATGATTTCCATAAAACTGTGTAATAAATGTAAACAATGAAAATGTGTAACGATAATGCAAAAAAATCTACAAATTCGACGATTATCATGACCGGAAGGAATGAGTCAGTAAGCAATAACTAGATATTATACAGACAGACGGAAATACAGCAATTTATAGTTATGATACAGAAATGAGTTCGAATGTCCCTTTAAAAAGAAGGTGAATTAATGAAACGGACATAATGTCCAACTTAAGTAGCAGAACAAAATAACCAGACAGATTAATAACCTATAGGAATTGTGACTAGTAGAGGAATTTAGAACGTATATTTCGTCCTATTTGAAACTCGTCAGCTAGGTTTGTCTGCCACACTCAGTGTTTAAGCCTACGATTAGACTCACACCACGTATCTTTCGCGTCAAATGCCAATGTTACTTACTGAACTAGTAACTTGTCCAAAGAATATGATTTTGACGTCAATATTAGTAAGCATTTGAATTATCTTGTTGATGATAATCAAGACCGACATTTACTATTCTTTGCTGGTATATGTGAATCCCATGAGGATTACCTCGATATAAATATTTTTCACGAGTACATCAAAGCACATGGACTGTGGCTAACAGTAGGATAACGTATAAGATAATCATGAACTCAATATTCGGGACAAAGATAATCAATCTGCAACGATGTGGTTGGTTTTGAGGTTAGATTAATAGGGATTTTCAATCAGTAATTACGGGAATCCTACTGACCTAACAGTAAATTTAAACTTTGCCTAGCTGACCAAATCAGTAATCAGATACCTCGAGACCGATTTTACCACTGAGACACAATTTCCTGTCCCACTTTTATACTCAACCCATTTTCACATGATCCTCTTAGCGATGCTACTTGACTAAGTCACGGTTTAATTAAAAGGAATAAATCAAAACTAGCAATATTCAGGCACCAAAAAATCTTATTTTACTAACATACATATTTTAAAGCTGTATTACAAAAAAATAACGTACTGCTAAGTTGTATACTCGGTACTAAATAGACATTAGAATATCTCAACAGTACATATTACAAAACTCCAATCAAATACTGTTTTTGTATTCAGGTTTTATCCAGTAGCGGCGTAAAACTTTCGACACAACTCCATAATTAAGAATATTCACCCTTTACTGTAAACGAGGACTTTCATGTAGGTCAGACATGAAGAATCATTCCATTAGTCAGTTAGCCATAATCGGCATAGAACCTGAGGCAAATGAGCGTTTGCCAAGTTGTCACACTGCATTAGCTCAACGGGATGAAATTAATAAGACGAATAACATTGGATGTAAATTGGTGTGGTATCACTCAGAACTAGGAACTAAATATTGAGGGGAGAAAGCGTAAAGGTGTAGGAGAATACCGGCATTCGTTATCGATAGAAAGGTAAAGAGTTAATGAGTCACTGCCATTAAGAGAAACTTTGGGCAGCGTCACTCAGTTTCTAACTAATTGTCGTGATTATCTGGTGTACCTAACGTGGGTCAGAACAACGGTCAATGACTTCAAAGGCTGTCATATCTTTTTTTTGGCCACCCCGACCTTTCTTCTAACACCGGGCATCGACGTCACAGTTGGGCTCACGTGAGCCCAAACATCTAATAGACTGACAATTCAGTTTTATCAACTGATGATATCCTAGCCTTAACCTCATGACTTCTTACTTCGTGTTGAGTGATACGCCAACTTCGAAGATATCTATGATCAAAAACCTACAATCCATACATGTCCTCTACTTGGATAGACTATGCTTTCATAATTAAGATTCATGAGATATTTATCGACAAAAGATTGTTCGTACATGTTCAAATCTTAATTTAGGCTTTTAACAAAAAGTGAAAATGGACAAGTGTAGATTGTGCTCCTGATTCTTATCAGTTCACAAAATATTTTCCCTAAAAGCTCATATAAGTATGGAGAAAGGAACAAACGAAATGAACTGCCTACTCAATATTATTGTGAGCAGAAAAATGAAGATCAAAAGTCATAATTGTGTTAAATACCAGTTTTATATTGACTGGTGTGGAGTGTCTCTACATCTGAACTTGTTTCAAAATCAAATCAACTGTGAATAGAAACATTCTAAGCCAAATATGAGAATAGAAACTCTCCCTCTGGTTTTCTGTCAATACAACCTAGCTACAGATGGGACTTATTAAATATTCTATCTTTTCAGATGCTGTGTTTATCAAGCTTATTTTTATGACTACCAAAAAGAGAGATATCATTTACTTTCTAAAAAAAAGTATTAAACCAGTTGACAACATTAACCCTCACAATTTATAATTAGACTAATATCAACTTCCCGAATAATTAAGGATACTTATTCCCAAAGCTACATAGAACGGTTTAAAGTATCAATTATTTACTAACACTACATTTCCCAAACTCATAGGCAAATAATTGGCGGTTAAAACTTTTAGGCCAGTATTCTGACCAGAGTCAAAAAATGAAAGTTACCTGAAAGTTTAACCTAAGATTTCTCAAAATCACTAATCCATTGCTTCCGCAGTTTACTTTCCTCGAACGGGTTACTGAACATCAGAAATCCATGTTAAAAATACTGTAAACTGTCACATTATGAATGAATCTAGTACTTTCAATACTCATATTACAACTTCAATTATTACCGATGTCAAGTCATTTGTGTATTAGCTCCTTATTTTCTAGTGTTTACAGGCAGTGAAGAAAAATGCATTATGCCCTGATGTTGTTTAACATTTACTAATCTTCAGTAACAGACCACCTCTCAATTTTAAATTAAGATAAATGTAACGCTTAAACAATTTTGCAATGAATTCACTTGGTACTGTTTGCTTGTATCTTCCGATTGTTCTTTAGGACTGCAATTGATCAGTCTCTTGTTGGCCTATGCGAATCCTGTGTGGACTGCCTCTATATTGTCTTAAATCACAAGCTTTATAAGCAAAGATGGATGGCGGCTAGCAGTGGAATCCAGGACGTACGTTTTATTCTATTTGGGACTCGTCATCTGCATCCCAGAGTTGAAGTTCAATTCGAGACTCGAACCCAGTATCCTTCGCTTGATCTTCATATCTGAGATGCTACCAACATTTACCTGGACGCATAAAAACTTGGGTGCCTGAACTAAATCATGATCGTTATTCGGAGAAACAGTGACCACTTAGAAACCTTAGATAAATGTAAATCGCAAAGATGTAAGCTACGTAAGATGTTCATCAGTTGCCCTTTGGTGGTAGATAATAAAAAGTACGAAAGGTCAACTGTTACAACAAAACTGTATTACACAATCACTACTTTCAGTGTTTTGAATCAAAATCAAGAAGAATATCTTCCAAAGTATTTTTCTCCTCAAGCATTGAAATCATTGCTTTACAAGACTAATCTTGAAATAAAACGTTTACAATTCAATATCAAAGCTCAACTGGAACCAAGGTTGTCAGATTTGTGCATGATCTCTGTGAATATTGTTCGTAGCTTCTAGTAGAACTTATAACCTACATCACTTCAAATTCAATCATTATGAGTGAGTACAAAGACTGAAAACAAATGTCGTCTTTTTAAGTTTACCTTTAAGCAACTTAAAAATCATTGAAACTTTAAGTCACCTGGTTTAAAATTAAATTTAAACGGTTTAGGTGTACTGATTTTCTTCCGTTCCTACGATATCCCTTTGATATGACTGGTAAGAATTCAGATCGATAGGTCTTAATTTAATTAGTTAGTGAATGACCTGAAAAATTACTATCCTCCGGTAGCAAATATGAATTCTTATAATATTCACTTCGTTTCTATATAAATTGTATGTAAACATTATATTTTATAAAAGAAACAAATCTGTTTTGCAGAGCAATTGTACATTGCTTTGATATTAGTTGACTTGAGGCTTATACATAAAACTTGATCTTATAAGTAGCTATAAGTCCACCAAAACGTATGGCTTTTCCTCATCTGGGAGTCAGCACTCTACTCACTAATCTTAGCAATCCCAAAGTGTGCTTATAATGTGCCAGTTCTCTTGAATGTTTCCTCCATAACAATGACGAAATTCCATCTTGAGGTGTCGATTGCATTGTTAATGAGTTTGTAAACTACTTTTCGTGAAACACCCTTGCATACTAAAGAACTAGTAGATTTAAGAATAGTGACTGAAGGGAAGAAAGACAGTATTTTTATGATATCTCCTAGTTAAGTTAGTGGTACAATATAAAAACTTTCTTCGTCGTCCAATGATTCATATTATGACCAGATAAGTTTGAAAGTTTCCAAACAAATATGGGCATATGATAGGAGATGAAGGAATAAGTCCTCCTACAAGTGTTACTATAATGGAACTTGATAAAAAGAATAATAGTGTCATTGTTATAGCTAGTGGTTCAACGTAAAATATTTAAGATCTAGGTTATTAGATCCTAAATATTTAGAGCATTTTATTAGTTGTCACATGTAAAGTAATCATTTATATGTTGATTTAATTCTCCTAAATATTTTGTTCACGTGGTAACATTTAAAGAGGCGAATCCATATGGACTTTGCCTCATAGTAGTAATTTATATAATGCAGCAATAAAAATACATGAAAACTATACCTGACCATGAATCTTATTCGCTTCCAATTTATTATATGAGTAAACATATAGGGAGCCACGTTTTACAGTCACATTGTCGTCATCCTTGACGGACTTAACTGAGTGCTAAAGGAAACAATCGACAATATAAATATGCTTAAAAATTGAATGTCCATAAATAAAAGATATCACAAATATGCCACTTAGCCTTGAGCTTGACACTCGAGAAGCGATATATCACATGTAATGATTAAAAAACCACGAATATATTTATCATATTTGACTACAGATGTGTTCGAAATATTGCTAAAATGGAAAAAAACCACCAAGGAAACGGTGCTAATACAAATGAGAAAGTCTTAAACAAAGTAGAAGCTAGTTAATGTATTATAACTATTATAACCATGATCTGTTATCTCAAACTGCTGTAGATGCGCTTACCAGAGTATGAGGAAGGTAGAAGAAGGGTGAGTTACACGAACAAGACATACCAACATTTTATTTAGCCAGTGAATGTGGTTGATTCATGTTAAAAGGAAAAGGCTTCCTGGTCACAGTTAATGAAAAAATTAGGACTCTAGAATTAATTGAGTAGCTGTGAATCACCGGTGTGAACAGACTTCGCTACGCAAGTGATGCATCCAGACGCATATAAACAGGCAAACTAAGCTCACTGCTACATATATTGAAGGGCTATATCGAAAAACTGTTAAACAAAACATTTCAGTAGTAAGTTATACAGCTATCACGTTTACATCAACTAAGTACGGGAAGAAAAACCCCCGTACAACTGCTCAAAACTGGGTGACAAAATAGAATAAGGGTACAAAACGAAACTTGTGTATTTTGAAACTAACAGATGGATGTTTGAGGAAACGTTTTTCAGCAAGGGATGTTGAAGTCATATCAACACGTTCAATATTACTTGGGTGAGATCCTACATCCTAAAACCAGTGTCAGGAACATTACGAAACACTCTTACATGCAAAGATACGACTGGTACGAGCGATTCTAGCTGGAATAAAGGCTTCCGACTCCAAGGATTTTCGAAAAGCCTCTGCTGGTCTACTAGAGCCGCCATATCAGGCTTCGAACGTCTTGCAGATGGTTTTCTCTATAAAAAAGACAATTGGTTACTAATAAATGACTATGCTCCTAACTAGGTTATTGAGTTCTTCAGAAGCCATAACGTTTTGTAATTAGAACTGCCTTTCATGACATTGTAACGCACACATTATTTGGAGCGCGCTATCTGATGATGTAAATAATAACACATGCTAATTCAGTTCCAGTTTGAAAAGGACAGGAGATCAGAAAGCTTCCGTTAGTTTTGGTAGTTGTGGTCTCTCAGTTCATCCAACTTCCTTTTGAAAGAGTAGACAGATCGAGCTTCAATAACGTGTTGAGTTAATGCATACCATTCGTTGATGATTCGATGGGGAAGTCAATAGTCAGCTGACAAGTAATTTGTTCTGGGAGTGTGAACGTTTTAGAGTGTCCTCGTAAGTTTTCTGTTCTGAAAGACAGGAAGAGTGAGGGCATATCAGATGCAAATTTATCACTAAGTAGTCTAAAATATGTGGTCGAGTCACCTCTCGTTCTTTTATATGACAATGGAAATTAGTTTAGTTTAGCCAGTCGAGGATCGTACAGGAGCTTTGCCATCCCTAGAACCAGCTTAGTTGTGGTTCTCTGAACCCTTTCCAACAACCCATTGCCTCTTTTTAGCAGGAGCTAGCCACTTGTATGCAATACTCGAGTTTAGGACGAACGAGTACTGTATACGAAATCGGAAGTGTTTTAGCATCTACATGGCTAAAGGCCTTACATATTGAACATAGAGTTCTAAAACGTCTGACGGCTATCCCACAGCAGTGTGTGGTAGTTTTGAAGTCTTAGCTAAGGTTGTCTCCTAAATCACTGGGTGTCTGGACAACAGGTATGTCGCTATTTTTGGCCATGTATACATCTGTACCTCGGTGACCAATATATGTCACAATGTACTAAGGAGTATTCGTCCGCGACTTATAAACTTTAGGCCATTCAGATAGTTTCTCCAGGTCATTCTGAAGCTCAAAACTATCACCTTTGCTTATTACCGCCCTTGACATCGTCAGCATAAAACAAAACCGATGACGATAAAAGACATGAATATCCTATTATAAAGTCACGTTGTTTTTCAAAAAGGATCGTCCGGATGCCCAGACAAATCATCTAAGCACAGTTTCTCAGCTAGATGAACTTGAATTCAGCCGTACACCTTGTTGATGCTTGACTGGGAGGTCCTGGCTGCAACTAAATTCAACTCGATTTCGTGATTGTGACAGTCTGCATAGTGACAAATCAGAATGAAGTGGAAATCATTATATCCGCCACTTTTGTAAGCATCAACAGTCGAATTTCCTCGTTCTATTTTTTCCCACTGTTTTTTTTGTGTTGCTGCTTTACTTGATGTTTTGCAGTGCTGAGATATCCGTAATTAGTGTATAGCTAAGTGCTGTCACAAATTCTCTTTGAATCAGCTTAGTTTTCTAGGGTTTTTCCGCCGCTACTAGAGTCAGTGTATTCCTTCAGGCAAGCTCGCTTGTCTTATGTCACAAAATGTTAATCCGTTTTATTTTTAGTATCATTTTGTAGATATCGAAAGTCAAAGTTAGTTTATTCAGCTAGAATTAGTGTTGTTGCCGCATGGGATTCTAACTTTCTACATGTTTGTTCCTAGCTGTCATTTATGATGTTATCGAGAGCAATCAAAGAAAACGATCTCCGGTTTGTTATTTTCTTCAGTATTATGGATAATCCAACACTAATAACGAGTCAAACTGATACTGCGTACCCAGTAGTTGTGGATACCAGTGATGTTTTCGAAGGGATTATGAAACCCAGGCACCTGACAAGCTGCAACCAAGTCAGACATTCTATCGATCTGTTGCAGAAAGTTTGTCATTAAAAATACACTACATAACATTAATAGATGAGTGAGGCACAATAGGCACGTATCTTAAGATATGAGATCATATCAGCAGAGTTCTGAAATGGTGTAGCAGTAGAACTTTCCCACTGTTTCCTTAAAAATAGAAATCAAAGTCTCCTTAAGCGTATTTGTTGAGTTAATATCCATATTCTATATATCAGTTAATCGATGAAACTAATTCGCACCATGCCATTGTACTCTCATTTTTAAATTGTATTGTTATCAATGGATTTTTTAATATTAAATTTTGGTACAACATAGAATTCTCAGCACTAGTTATTTCAACAAATCTTACTTCCGAAAAATATAAGCGCTATATTCAGTGAATATAGTCTTATTTGCTATGATGGCGATAGGTGGGTGGGGGGTCATGATATATTTAGTAGGACTGTAGTCGTAATTTTACTGGAAACCTAAGAAAGCGCGTAGACCCGTGTAAGATACTTTACTCAGTATCACCGTGTTCTTAGTGGTCTGTAAGTCTAGTAAAGTCACTGCTTGCATATCATAGGGCATCCCATCGAACATCTAAGGGATTAGACGCGTGTCCATCCACAGACTTCCGCGGGGCGAGACTATAATTTATGGACGAACCAGTCAAGTACAAGATAACAGGTCTCGGATTTTGGCGCAAAATTCACTCATCCATTTGGATAAACAGATTTTTTGCAATAAAGCTGATATCATTTCGTGATGAAAACCCGAAATTTAATTCCTGCGCTTAATCATCAACTGTAAATTATGATTCATATTCCTCAAACAGGTTCATAACCCTAATTTGGCTATGGTTATTAAGTGCACTTAATGAACGCTATCTTATAATACAAGGCAACAACAGTATTCATGCTACTTTTCTTCCTATTTGCAAGTAGATAGATTAGAATCGGCAGACCCATTAAAAGCGGGCTGATATGGGAGTTGCATCAGTCTTAAATGTGATACGTAAATAAATGATAAATACGATACATCAGTATAACGTCATCGTGATTCTTCCTGTTCTGCACAAAGCTTAGGCTGACAACATCATCTTCCTGGAGTTACATACATCGTAATACATGCATTATTTCACACTGGTTGTTTTCTGGTTGGGAAGCTTAGGCATGCTAAAGGAAATGGGTAACTCTACTTACTAAACTGATCTGCTTCATTATATGCTCCAAACACTATAGCGAAGTATCGTATAATTGTGTCTAGCGAAGTTAGTCACATGATAACCAAGAATACTAAATTAAGCATGTGTGATGTTTATTGTTTCATTTCCACAGACATGTTACTCAAAGTAGTTAGATGTAGATAATTAAGCCCATAAACTCAGAACACGAACTGTAGGACAGCACGACTTACTTAACAGAGGGCCAAAGATATTGTTTCGAGACTGAAGACAACAGTTTACAGTAGTTTACAGCTCAACGAATCTTTCTCCAGTGAGATTATTAATTGAAGGTTTACTTAAAAACAACGACGTGGTTATACTAATTATAACTCAAAACATTATTCCAGTATGCAATTTAGATCCGGCTTAACGTAGTCTGAGGTAACAAATAAAAATTACAGACACAGTAAAATTCACAGCACATACTAGTTTCTTAATAAAAAATAATTATAATATGACAAGTTAAATGGCTACATGAACGTGAACACGACTGTTATTCCAGTTTGTGATACATTAGGTTTACATGATGACTTCGGGTTTAAAACTACTCAAAGTGATTTATTGGTATTGAAAAATTGCATTCAAACGCGATATTACTTAATTTATATAGAAGTTGGTTGTGAGAAACTTTGTAAAAAAACCTTAATGCAGTTAATGTAGATGCCACTTATAGGTAACGTTCAGTTAGTAAGGTATAAACCGCCGGTTCTAAAGTCATGCTGATTTTCAGAAAGAACCCGTTTTTCGTCGAGATACCTAAACAACGCCTTCTGAATAATCTTTGTTAGGATTTTAAAAACTACGCTAGTTAGGTTTACGAGTCGATAGTTCTCAGGTTTATGTCTCGTATGTGTTTTAAAGATACGACTTACTACAACACTCTTCTAGCTTCTAGGTAATCGACCCCGGGTTACAGATAGATTAAAATATATACTCGAGGGATTCGCGACACAATTTGCTAATTCCCATAGTAATCCATGAATTTGCCTATATCAAGCTCATTAAACAGGCAAAAGACACACACATTGTCCAGCATGTATGCATGGGAGGAGGCTTTTATGAACTGAAGGACAGTGTATCTCCGCAGTATATACATTACCAAAGTAATTTTAGAATACCCGAGCTTTACTATGATCTTCCTTTACTGATGATACAGTACTACTGTCTTTCCATAATACTAGAGTGTTTCATTTTCCCTTGGCCGTCTGATAGATCTTCTTCGCACAACCTCCAAGATTGGCGGAGGGTCAAGGTACAAGTATTTCGAGCTTCCCAACAATAAAATTTCGTTTCGTCAGTACCCAGTAACCTAAATCTCTCTCACGTTCTTCGCCTCTTACGAAGAAGGGAGCTAACCTGTCTACTGAACCAAGGTGGAGTTTGTCGAACCCCTCGGTGTAGTTCAAGGCATGTGTGGTGCAGTGATCTTCACTCATAAATTTCCAATAAAATCTCAAGACGTTTCAACGACGGATTCTCGTTCTGTTGACCAATCTACTAAGGAAGCTCTATGTATAGTATCTTGCATATTTGCTTTTCAGCCATTTGGTCTTACTTGGGCTGACACATTCTCATTATCGACAACTAAATGGAAACCAAAGACTATAACTGTATGGTCACTTTTACCCAAAAGTGGTGCATAATAGAGGTTTGGGCCATCATCTTCATAATGGGTTATTATGAGACGTAATAAGGACTCGAAGAAAATCCGAAGAACATTTAAACTGATTTGTGCTGCACCCAGAGTTGAATTGGCATCATCATCTGTCAATGCGTCCCCACCTGAGAACCTTCAATTCTAAGGCCCTTGTCGCGATTATCTCGCTTTAGTTTTACTTTTTTCAACTTCTCCTCTTTTCATACGGTCCACTAGAGACAATTCTTTGTGGACAAAAGATCCTGATACCGTTGGTTTATGTTGATTCTGTAGTTTTATGTCACCTTCACTTATTTAAATGCTATTTTTAGCAGCCTGATTTGATTCTGTTATAAGTCCATTTGGTTACCTAGTTTATAAACTACGATAAATATTCGATCTCTCAGCTACTGTTTGATGTGTTGAACTTTCCCTAGTAACACAACGTTGTTTCTTATTCTTGATCTGTACCTATTCATCAACATTCATTGG